TAATAGATGCCAGTAGTATGTTCTACTACTGCCCTAAGTGCTTTATGGGTATTGATTCATTGACCCTGACAACACCATAAAGTAGTACTATTATTATCATCTCTATTTTGTAGATGAGGAATTGAAATTCAGTTAGGTTAAACACCTCATCAAGGGCTACCCCCAGCAGTAATGGAGCCAGAGTTTTGAACTCAGGTAGTCTAACTTCTAACTAGATATTTTTGTAGTCTTCTGGGGATTCTTACTTTTATATAAGTATATCAGTTACTTAAAATTGGGTCTCCAGACCTGAAGTCATAGTTTGCTCTTCGTCTGCAATGTCTTGCCCCAAGCAGATTTGCTTCTTTTTTCACATCTTTGTTAATGTTGTCATTTTCCTTCTAGTCATCTAGGCCTGAAGTTTGAGTCAATCTGTGCTACTACTTTTTTGTTCCTTCAGTTGATGCCTGATTCTTATTGATTTGTCCCTTTAATAACTATCAAATAAATGCATTCTACTCATTTTCATCATCTCACCTTAAAGTTGGTTGTGATCTCTTGTTTGGAATAGCTGTTCTTTTCTCAGAGATGCCTGTGTGCTCTGATACCCAATTATCTTACTACTCTGGAATTGTTAGTTATTTGTCTGTTTTCCCCATTAGAGTCTTCTCTTGTAAAGAAGAACCTTGAATTATGATTTTGTATTCTCAATGCCTAGCTTAATATGTGACATACAATTAGTATATAGTAAATATTTTGTGAATACCTAAATTAGTTTGTCATTAGATGTTAGTTTTAATGGCTCTGATAACATCAGATAAAGTCATTTTTTTGGTCTACTTTTGGAAAATTGTCTTTCAGTGCCTAATTTTTTTCAAAAGCTATACCTAGTTTTTGTGTAATTGTAGTGATCAAGGATAGAGTGTACTCTTTCATATAGTTATGTGTTATCTTCAGAACACATATAATAAAATAATAATTTCAGAACTGTTAGAATCTTATTATGGTTTGTGACAATCCAACTAATTATATTTTCATGAATGAAATACTTATTATATTCTCTTGGTAGCAATGGAACAGCAAAAAGTGTTTCTATTCTTCCCATATGCAAAAATATCTTATAACTTATATAATCACTGTCATCTCAGAATGAGTGTGTGAAAAGGGAGGAGGCAGGTGTCATAAGTCTTTATTCTTTGGTAAAGAATATAGTAGCTGAATGTTAGTTGCGTCCAATATTTAAGTAATGATAGAAAGTGATAGGGAATTTTGGGGTACAAATTTAATGCATGGCAGTGGGCCTACATTTGCTAATAATTTCTGAAGGTAGTTATATTCCCTAATAATTTCCCTGCATCAAATAAATGAAGTTACTGTTCTGAGGGGAATGCATAAAAGGTGGCAATCATTTTCTACATGACTAAAATTTTCGTGTGCATCATGCTTCTAACTGTGGGACTCTCAGGCTTCTTTTTGTTTTTCAAAGCACGATTCTGCTTAACCGTTAACTCTGCGCTTATGCTTTATTTGCAGCATCTGGCGAGGCCCCAATGTGAACTGCACAGACAGTTCGGGTTACACTGCTTTACACCATGCAGCCTTAAATGGACATAAGTAAGTGCCATTTATTTGGACTGGGATCTTTGTGTATTTAGTTACCTGTGATGAAGTTAATTGTGTCTGATGATACCTGTCTCATGTTGCCATGAGTCCCCTGGGCTTAGATGAATTTGGAGAGGCACGAGGTGTCAACAGTGACAAGTTGAAAGTGGTAGAAATGTTGCTGAGGATGATTATGTGCAGAGTGTAAATCATGTCGAATATCACACAGGGAAAATGGAAGAACAAACAGGACCATAAGGGAGTGGGATAAACTACTTAATGACACTTCCCTAATTTTTGGGTGTCTTCATCAAGTATGGGATTATTCACTGGGAATGAAATCTTAATAAAGTCTTGCTGTTACAAGCTGTGGGCATTTACATGAACCACTTCAAAATTCTTCAGATTAAGCCAAAATGCTTTCTGTTTGTCATTGACGGATGGCCTTTCTGGTTTTGAATTTCTTTAATCTATGGAATTATGTTTCAAATAATGTGATCCTGTACAGTTTGGAGAGTGAAAGAATGTATAGCCTTAACCACCACTTTATTAACAGTGTTTTAGCCAGGTAACCTAATGGTTTAGTGACAGAGTCAAAATGTGAGGAGTCCGCTGAATGATTCAAATGTTCTGCTCTGTCATCAAAGGAAAAGTGACCCCTTTCAGATGTCTCCCCCTCCTATCTGTTTTTCTTTTGCTTCAAATGATTCAAGTTAGTCTTTTCAGATCTGGATCTTGTAATTTCACTTCAGTTTTTTAGATGTGGTAGTTACTACCTTAAAAATGCTAGTTCCCTTTCACTTTCCCACCTCACATTTCTTTTATTCTGTGAATTGAGACACAAGCGACTTAGTCATACTCAATCAAATCTTATGGGCTTAAAGCTCTTATGCAAGAAACATCATTTTTGTCATTATTTATCATTATTACATTTTTATCTTAAAACTTACTGCATAAATCTAATATTATCATTCTGTTTGAAGAATCATCTGGATTATGTAAAATATCATAATGTTTTATCACTTTGATTATTAGTATCAGTATTTCCAAATTACACTTCTTTTCATCCAGTCCTTGTTCTATATTGTATCAATTTATATACCATCTAATTTAGAACTTTTTATTTTGCTGACTCTTTTTCAGCTATATTGCTGTCCTCTGTATAGTGGAAAATGTGCCCAGATCCCTACCATCTGAATCTTTTAAAGGAATTGCAATTTATTCTTCTTTGTACCTGGGTCATCAGGAGCGAAGTCAATTAAATTAGCCCAGGGTATACAATACTGATATCTTCTCTGCCATCCTAGTTGTGGTTTCAGGGTGGTACCATATTTCTTAGTTCCAGTTGGAAAGACAGACTATCAAATCTGATGGATAGAAGATCTTGAACCTGACAATTTGAGCTATACTACTTTTCTTGTCTATCTCAGCTTGACATCATAAATACTTCTACAAATAATATTGTCCCCCAACAAACATATCCCTCCTTGATTTTCAGTGAAGTTCTAACCACTGAGGTTTGTTTCCCTGAGGCCTATTACATAATTTTTAGTTTTTATTGGCAGTGTGCAAAGTGAGGAAAATTTAGGTGAATTGAATAGCAGTCATTACGATTATCACAAAGAGATGGGGGATTTGACTATATACCTTTTAAGATCTCTTTAATTGCAGATGTTCTCTGAGAATTGTATGTCTCTGCTTTGCTTTTATCTAAAGGACTCATTTGTCTTTTCTTTTTAACACTTTCTAGAAAGATTTTACTTAGTGTCATTCTGTAGGCATTGGAAAAAAAAGGAAAATTCTAATCCCATCCCTCCCTCTCTGCTGGTTACATGACCTTGAGCCATTTAATTCAGCTCTTTGGGTCTCAGTTCAATGTACTGAAAACACTGGCTGAATATTTTTCATTATTCCTTCCAATTATAACATTTTATGATATACTATCGTTATTATTTGTGGCTCAGTTATGTACTATGATGCTATAATTCTAAAATTTGGATTTTCATCTAGAGTATAAGATGTCTTGATTTTAAATTATTTAAATTATCAAAGACCTTTAAAATTAGAGATCACTTATTCTACCCTACTCTCCTCACTGTTCTCATTTAACAGTTGGAGAAAAAAGACCACTCTGGATAATTGACTTAGTGGCTACTTAGATATTAAGCTGGGGCTATATCTACAATCTAAGTATTCTAGTTCCACATAGATACTTTTTACCAGTACTTTACATTATCTCCCCTTGTGGCTGTATGCACTAAGTTTTCTGAATTCTTATTGGTTTTTCTCTGTCACGTTATGTATTTCTAGGCTGCCTCCCATTGTCATCAAGTAGTATGTTCTCATGTAATGTTAATTTAAATATTGGCTTAAGAAGAGATATTTGAAGGAGATAAAAGTGTCACAGAATATACCTCAGAGCCAGAAGACAATGGTTTTACCTTTCTTTGTCTTTGCTATTCTCACTTAGCATAGGTAATGGTCAATTGATTGTGTTTATTCTTCCCAAGCAAGCCTTAGCAGGCAGCATAGAAACACATCTTTTCTGTGTTTGTTACTGCTGCTCTTATATCCATCAGCTCTAGATTGTTTCCATAAACACTATGATCTCTAGGCTGAAGTTCATGAAATTATAGAACTGGAATTAATGTTACAGGGTCCTGTAGTTTATTCTTTTATTTGAGCACATGCTTTTCCCCTCCCACAGTATATAACCTATGGCCTTTATACTGCAAATTAAGGCTGTATCCTCTTTATTTTGTACATTTTATCAGGAGCTCTTGTTTATCACTGCTTGTTAATCCACGAATGGAGCAGCATTTTGTTGAAGTACATTATTTGATAATTAACAGTTCATCTCTACTTAGCCAAATCAGGGCACAATAGAAACTGTACTCTATTGGTGATTTCCTGAGTCATTTGCAATTACAAATTAGAAAATTATGACCTTCAAACAATAGAGAAAAACATGGTAAGTAGAACGAAATTCACTAGTAATGATTATAAATAAATTATTTCAATAGATAGGCTAGAGATCTATCCATTTCTCTTTCTTTTTTATCCTTTTTTAAAATATAAAGGATTCATTGTCTCTCTCACATATTTCTACTGCAGATTAGATTCCTTTAATTCTCTTCTGAATAGCAATCAGCAGGTCTTTTCTCCCTCCTTCCCTCCTACCCTCCCTCCAATTCTCCTTCCTTCCCTCCCTCTCGCCTATTCCTCCCTCTTTCCCTCACTCCTTTCCTCACTCCCTCCTTTCTTTCCTTCCTTTTTTCTGCCTTTCCTTCCATTCCTCTTTTCTTTTCTTTTTCTTCTTCTGTCCTTTCCTCCTGTCTTTTAAAATAATAATCTTATCATTCCCTATAAGGTTTTACTAAACCTGTGTATTCATATTTCATTTCAGTTTTCCTTCTCTTAGCATATTTCTTTTTCTTTTCTTTTTTTTTGGTTAAGTTTCATCTCATTAAACTATATTGAGTACATTGTGATTCTTGGATACTGTTTTGAAAAATGTCAGTACTGAATTATTATTGTATCCTTCAAATATGTATGGACTTTTATATGTGTGGGGTTAAAATTTTTTTATTCTTGCTTCTCATTCTTTAGATATTTAATGCTTGAATCCTAGACTCTGTTATCTATAATCCAAATTGTTTCTCAAAGTGGATCTAGAATCCAGATAGTAAGCTATCTGATTTGCTCAGAATAGGTTTTCTAATGAAAGAAAGGTATTTCCTCTAAAAACTTGTATAATCTAGTCCATGAAGTTGCTCTTTGAATAACCTATAAATATCTTTTAGTTGATTGCTTCATTCTTGGATAGGGATATTAACTAGTTAAAATTTGCCTTTATTCACTATAGAAATCTATGAGAGTGAATTCAGTACAAAAAGGAGCTTCAGCTAGAAAATGGAATGTATTGTCCTAAAGTCAAACATATTTGCAACTTTGTTCCCATTAAGAAGAGATAAAATCTTCAAGAAAGTCTGAAATTAAAATGTCCATAATGAATTTGAGAATTTTATTACTTTTTTAATACTAAATCCATATGAAGATGATTTGCATTTATTTCAAAATTCTTTGGATTACTACTAAGCACAGGAGAATAGAATAAAATAAGTATCTTTGGTTAATTATAGGGAAACTTGCTGTTGAGGTAAACAAATTTGTTATATTGAACCTTCCCAATTAATTTAATTTTGATCAGATCATACACCGAACTTCTTAAAAGACATTTCATATTAATGAGAAGTATTATTTATGTCTATCAGAAAATGAAACAAATTAAACATAATAGCAAAAATCAATACCTTTAGAATTCCTATTTTTACCTGAACTTACATATGTTAGCCTCAAGCTACAAAATGTTGTAATGATTTAAATGGGATTATTATTAAATTTGATTTTTTTTCCTTTTTCAGTTTTATTAGGTAGAATTATTACAGTTTGACTGCACATACATATTATATTGCATGTAAATACATATATATTGATATTTTGTTGTGCTCCTGGGAAACAATTATTTTTCCTGTGATCTCATCAACCACATTTACTTTAGTGTTTTAGCATTTCTTATTTATCAAATTCTGTTAAGAAAGAACACCACTTTAGGTTTCAGATATGAGAATTACTTCCCTGCTTGCTATTCTATAGCCAATATTCATCAATATAACTTCATATTTCAAGCCAGGTAACCAAGCACAGTCAACATGTTCATTTCTTGATACCTCTGGAAGATAAAAGATGGAACTTAAGTAAAAAAGAAAAATGGATGTTAAATAAGTTTATTATGTTTGCAATATATACATATATCAGATCATCATGTTGTATACTTCAAACTAAAATCATGTTATATGTCAATTATATTTTAAAAAAATTGATTTGGTGGAATTCTTTGTTAACTAGCCTTCTTGTTTAGATACTAAACAAAGTACCTGGAATTAATTTGTTCTTAATGAGCCTGGGTGAAAAAGGCCTGTGTAATATATATTACTTGTGATATACATGGATGCATCATAAGAAAGATTAATGACAATTTGTTGATTAATATTTTACTTAAGATTCAGTAAGACCAACAGGCACTAAAAGATATAACTTTGTATTTCACAAGTATGTTTTCACATTAGAAATCTGAGCTCAGCCAGTTCATTAGCCAGTTTCTCTGAATAAGAGGAAAGACTCAACTTAAATAAAATTTAAAAAACAAATTTCAATTTAAAAATAAACAAATTTAATAAGATACTTATTTAATAAAATGAATAAGTTTTTAAAAAACTTAAGTAAAAACAATAGTATTTAGTAAAGATCTTGGTATTCACCAAAAATAATTTTATAAACATACAGATTATTCTTTTCTGATTTAGATACTAGATGGTAGTAATACTTCACAATACAGGTGATCAAGAAGTTAACTCGTTTTTTCACCATATCATAAATTTTCCTGATAAAGAAAAATTCAATGCATATCACTTATATTGTTAGAAAGTGTCAAAAAAAAAATTGAGCCTAAGCATATATTAAACTGTGAATGGTCTGAGTGAGAGTGGAAGAAAATAGTACTGATGATCCCATCACACTTTCCTCTTTCCTCTTAGGAAGGAAATGCTTTTAGAAGTTTCAGAATGTTTTTTTATTTGCTTAGGCATTGAGAAATGAAATTAAAGCCTTTCATGTAACTGTCTTCCTCTGATGTATGAATTTGGTTTGGAGAAGGCTTTTTTTTTTTTTAAATAGGATAAATTCTACTTGTTACATCCAGGTATGTAACTGTACTCCCTTTGGTATTATTTTACCTTTTATTTAAGTGCTGATAAATTTTAGTTAAAAAAAGATCACTATGATTGTTCAAAATTGCAACAGAAAGCTTTGAGAATAGTTTTCGATTGTATACAGTTTTATAGTCATATTTATTTCTCATTTGATTCACATTTTGAGACCCGCAGCATTATGTAATCTCTAAATTCTATTTTAACAATATCTAAAGGAGAGACAGAGGTTAGTTGAATTGTCCGAGGCAATAAAGTTAGTAAGTATTATCAGAGAGTTGGGACTTTACACCAGAACTTCTGATTCTTAGCTGCTTTTGTTGAACTCATAAATATTGAATCATTTTCACCTCTTTGTAAGTTATTTCTCTCAGAGTAGAAGACCCTATATAACAAATCTTACCTGGCAGAGAAGTGAGAAGAAGCATAGGAACTGGACAAATTTCAGGTTTCCTTCTGCTTTTCAGACTTTTTTTTCAAGGTGATTTGGCAAGCATTTTTACTTAAAGGATTTTATTTTTACTTGGGGTGAGAGCTAATATTTGTGTAGTGTTTTACTGTTTAATGAGTGGCTTCTATTTTATGTTCTCATTTAATGTTCATATCAGTCTTGAGCAATAGGCGCTATTATTATTATTATAGTATTTTCTACAGGAAAGAAAAAGAAAAATGAGACTACATAATACTCTAGGATCGTATCATTAGGTGGTTTGCATAGCTGGGACTTAAATCCAAGTCTTCTAATTTCAGATCTTATAAAATAATACTGTTTTAGAAAAGAATATTAAAATGAGATTCATTTTTATTTTCTCTGAAATCTTATTGTTAGAAATTGTGTCAGTGGTAGAACTTGTCTCATAAATGAATTTCCTCTTGAAATAATTTCTTAGGCTTGGAGGAGGAAGGCAAAAGAGTGCACAAGTATAAACAACACACATTCAAAGTATTTGGTGTGCCATGGCTGAAAAGTTATTAAATTTGGGGGGGGGGGCTTGGACTTAAACTACAAGGTCCCTTTCCTACTGTGCTGTCTGCTTTCTCTTTTATATGAATCTTCAATCTCTTAATCCATTTCTCTATAGGAATGATGTATAAACTCCCTAAATATCTCTTAGTGGTATGATAACTTTTTTTTGTAAACAGGGAGTTTGCTTGTACCTCAACTCTTCCTTTAGACTAAATCTCAGACATGAGTTATCTGGAAAGATCTCCCTCCCTTTTTAAAAAGATGAGAGGAATTATCCTTTTAATTATTTTATTTAACTTATTCAGTTAATCAAATTAGATAAATGTTTGCCCAAATGAATTTTATTAAGTAGTGTTATGGGTTAGTAAGTGCCCTGTGTATGTGGTGTGGTTGTTTCCAGGTGAGTTAAACAGCCAAATGTTGAATAGGCAAACTCTTAAACCTGATTTTATGTCTCAGTACTATGAATTACTCTAAATTGGCAGCTGGTATCTAGTACACTTTTATACTTATCTGTTTAATAAAATCTGTATAGTTCAGTGTATTTTCTTTTTTATTATATTCTTTTTTTTCTTTGTAGGGACATAGTTCTCAAACTGCTTCAATATGAGGCATCAACAAATGTAGCAGATAATAAAGGTTATTTTCCTATTCACCTGGCTGCCTGGAAGGGAGATGTGGAAATAGTGAAGATTCTTATTCATCATGGACCATCACATTCCAGAGTCAATGAACAGGTATATTTGTCAAATATCTGCTTATGCTATGATTTTTCTAGAGTTTTGTAAAGGCAAAGTCACATTGAAGAATTGGTGATTTCTGTCTTTATCCTGTCCAAGACCTTTCCACTACTGAATTTCCTAAAGGAGAAATTTGAAAAATTCTTTGGCATTTGTATATGGTACATTGACACTAAGTTGGGCATTTGTAAAGATACTTGTTAACAAAAAAATCCCATGGGGAGGTAGTTGTAACATTTCTGCCTGCCTTACATAAGCATCTATTTTATAATTATTGACTGTTTAAAGATAGAACAGAATTCACATTTGTAATGTGAATTAGTTTTTCTTAATACAGTTTAAAATGCTAAGACAATGATGACAGCTGTCATTTGCATAATTCCTTACCATTTACATAGCACTTTCACATTAAGTACAATTTTGTGAACTAAAATACAGAATACAGTGTATATATTTGCTAGTCACATATTAAATTAAAAATTTGCTGTATGTATATATATGCACATTTGCCCAGAGTAAGTTGAGTAAAACACAGAAGCAGGATAATACTGATAAAGTCAAAATATTTACAAGTCCATAGTATCTATCTTACACATAATGGATGTATTTAAGAAGTAATGCCATTCTCAGTATTCTGAATAAATAAGACCACAGATTCTAGCAAATAAAATACAGTCTCCTAGTACACTATGATAACAAACATCTTGAGCTCTGCATGCCCCCTACTGTTCCCATTTTGTAAAACTATATTTGAAAACCAGCATGCAGTCCAACAACTGAATTACAAACATGGCATTAAGCTCCAGGTTGGCTGTTGTCCAATATCAATGCAAGTAGGTTACTCTGGGGCAAGCATATCTAATAAAGTACAATTAGCATATTGTTCAAATGGATACAGACTTTGCAGACCTTTGAATGAAATTCAGATTAAAGAATAAAAAGTAACACTTGCTAGCTGTAAACCCCCTTGGGAAGAAAAATACTTTTTTTCCTGACATAAAAACACAGTTGTATAAAAAACTAGTCATGGAAAATGTTTTATTAATTGGGAAAATATCTTATTAATATTTATCACAATAAAATTTCTGTATATACAGATTATAAAATGTGGAGTGTTTTTTGTGAGAGTACAGTTATGAATTAATCTTTAAAAAATGACAGATATGGCTGTCTTTATCAGTGGATCATACTAAAAGGATATTTATGAGAATACTGTCTGTTCCTCAGAAAACCAAGTTAAAAGATTGTGGGATGAGCCATCTGGTGGTTATTCTTAAAACTGTCTGAATGCCCCAAAACAAGCCTGAAATAATAAGATGGAAAAACAATCCAAGGTTAAATAAGGGAATGCTATGCTAATTTCTACAAACAAAGTATTTTTAAAATGAGTGAAAATAAAAAAAAACATTTTGAATTCACTTATATTTTTATAAGTTGAAGATTTAAATGGCATGTAACTGTAATGGTTGGTGTGTTTTAAAGAGAAATACTTGTTTTCTGT